GGGAATTCTGGGAGTTGAAGTCCACACATCTTCAAGTGGCCAAGGTTGAGAAACACTGACATAGATTGTCCACACCAAGAGTTCTGCCAGTTCTTTCCCCTTCCAGCCCAAGTGGCAGGAATGATTAAATATGGTTGTTCTTTTTTCTTAATGGATGCACCATTGAGTGGTTGCACCATATGGGAAGATGTCAAGCACGAGAGGGCATCAATGGAGGAGGTTTCATAGAAAAGCCACGTGTCCTCAACGCCAGTGGAAGCCACGTGTCCTCAAAGACCCAACAACAGAAAGAAAACTATTCCTTTCCAGCCGGTTTATCCAGGAGAGTCAAGCAGTCTAAGGCTGCGGTGCAGAAAATCCCTCACCCCGTCCAACGGTTTATCTGCCCACATGTAAAGTTTTGTCCTTTAGTGACAAGACACACCCAACCCTCATCGACATCCACAGCCACCTTTAAGGTAGGGATTTGTGGCCAAAGGGCTCTAAACGTGAGACCGGGAACCGTGGCGAGGCTCCCCCTGTGGTCTGGCAATCTTCAAGCAACTGCATTCTGGAAAGAATAAGGTTGTGGTTGTGTAAAGGGTGAAGAGAAGGCCACTCCTTCTAGGCTGCCAGCAAACTCCCCGTTGAAAAATGTGTTGCCTTGGACAGGCCTTCCGTTTGGTAGAGCAGCACAGATGTCTTCATATTGTTAGATGTTGTGATAATGTCTAACCTACAGTATCTCACAAAGTTGTTGTGGAGAAGCGTGGGAGGAGCAGGCGGGGTGCGCACAGCCTTGGGCTCTTGAGCAGAAAGTAGAATGAAAGGCAGGTAGCCCGCTGGGAATCAGGCAGCCGGGCAACGCCACGAAAGGAAGAAAGAAAACGACGTGAACATGCTGACGTCTTCTGCGCCATGTTTTTCTTGCTGGCTCGCTTCTTTCACTTCCTGTCTCTGGTTCAGAAATGAGATCATTGCAGGGACTCCACCTGCAGTGCTCAGCCTGCGTGAGAAAGCCTGACTGGAATCTTTCTGTGCACCGTCTGGCTGGCTTGTGCGCGACTAATTCTTACTTTTGGTACGTTTTTTTAACTGGAAATCCTGCAGAGCGGTGTGTCTCAACCTTGGCAACTTTAAGATGGGTGGACTTCAACTCCCAACATACTGGTTGGGGGATTCTAGGAGTTGAAGTCCACCCATCTTAAAGTTGCCAAGGTTGAGACACACTGCTGTAGAGGACTTTATCTTTCCCCTGACTTAGTCAGTTCTAATAAAGGATCCCCAAAAGGTCAAGAATGGGGACATTTTAATGGAGATAGAGACAAGGAATCCATGTCTGATTAAGGAGGGGTGGTTGATGGCTTCCAAAACCTTGATGAAATTACTTTTGGGCAGAGATATTATTTTGCTCCTTTCCCTGCGCCTTCAGTTTGAGGAAGGAGAATTTGTTCTAGAAATTCATTTCATCGGAGAAGAGAATTCCTGGAGAAGAACATTTCAGAGAAACTCTCATGGGGGAGTGTGGTGTTCTTGCCTTTATGGAGTGACTAGGTGTGTTTTTCTGTGCAAAATCCTCTCTTCAGTGCAGGCTCTGCTTCCATTCAGTCCTAAGACAGTGACGGAGGAATGGCCAGAGAAGTTCAGTTGGCCAAGGATGAGGGTTTGAGTGGCCAGCCTTTGATGGTTCAATCAGCTCTCCAGGGATTGCCAGTCTTCCTGGCTTTCCAAACTTTGAGGAAATCCTAATGGGGAAACTTCAGGATGAAATTGCTCCCTTTTTCCCCCAGTTGCAATGCTAAGAGGAGGAGCTGTTGCAGAAATTCCAGAAAGTTGTCCACCAGTTTTTTTGATCCACAAATTGGGTGGTGGATTATAAAAGTCCATCCATGTTCAAACCCGTAGGGAGGATCTCTATTTTGCAGAGCAATTGTCCTTGGACTGCACTGCAGAGAAGGGAAGAGGAGGTGGAAAAGTCCAAGGGAGGCTAAAGGTTAGCAGTTGGAGAAGGCAGGTGAAAAAGGAAATGATTCAGTGGGGAGGAAAATAGAAATCAAGAGAGGTGAGGCAAGGAAGAATAATAGCCTGCCTACTGATTTGAGTATAGACAGTATACTCAGCGTATACTCCATGCTGCATCAGTCCATAGGATTATGGGTTTAAAAGATGGTGGTCATCACAAAGGCCTAGGGTTAAAAAGGGAGGAAACAGGAAATATGAAACAGGAAAGATTAAAAAGAGAGCCTGCAGCCATGAATCCCAGCTGCCCAGAGTCAATATGATTTCTGGGCAATTGAAGGTTCTTTTCTGGCTGATTGGGGGGACTCATGAAGAGATCTGCTGTGCCCCAATTGAATCTCAGCGGTTTTCCAGTTCCTCAGGTCCTGAAGAGCTGCACAGAGTTTGTGGAACAGCATGGAATCGTGGATGGCATCTATCGCCTCTCAGGAGTCTCTTCAAATATCCAAAAATTAAGGTACAAGGGAGAAGGATGACCTTGAAATATCCATTTCGATTTGAGGACCAAACAGCACCTCTAAGCTGAGAGGCAGCACATCTGACTCTTAGTCGCTGTGGACACATGACCGGGGTGGGAGGTTGCTGACTGCTAGGATATGTCTTCTCCCCCACTGGGCTTCGGGGACTGGCCACTTCCTCAAAACCCACTCTTGATGAGAGAACAGGCGTTTGACAAGTGAGTTTGGCAAGGCGTGGGAGTCCAGGGAAAAACCCTTCCCCCACTTTTTTTTGCTACTTCCAGTTCTGGGTACTCCAAGGAAGTTTTAAGGGGGAATTTGGCTGGGGGAGTTGGCAGGGAAGGCCCCAAGCATCAGGGACCCTGAGGGAGACGTGATTACTGTGACCTGCAAGGTGCAGGCTGTGGTTGCCATCCTGCCTGAAGTGGAAGCTGGTGTCCTTATTGAAGGAGAAAGGGAAGGGGCTTGAAGAAAGTGTTCCTACACTGAAATGCCTTGGGGAAGTGGGAGTGGGAGGGTCCTTGAAAGCTGAAGATCTCCAGGAGGGGCAGAGAAATGAAGAGACAATAGGAAGAACTCCATCAGACAAAGGCAAATACATGGAGGCATTTGATCAAAGATGCAAAACACCAGAGGAACTGGTACCAGGCCCTTTCTCTAAAGCAGTGTCTCTCAACCTTGGCAACTTGAAGATGTGTGGACTTCAACTCCCAGAATTCCCCAGCCAGCCAGGCTGGCTGGGGAATTCTGGGAGTTGAAGTCCACTCATCTTCAAGCAGCCAAGGTTGAGAAACACTGCTCTAAAGAATGATCCACAACTGCCTGAGCAAACCTAGCCATGGAACACTGTGGGAAACCTTTGGGCCCCCATGGGTTGAAGAAACCCAAGAGCCACCTCCAGAAAAAAAGAAGCAACTCATCTCGGCTGACAGGAACCAAGGCATCGGTGTGCAGAGCTGATATAAAGTTGCAGGAGGTGTATTTGTGTAATGGGCTTCTCAGAGCCTAGGAGGGAAGATGGCAGCTTGCAAAAGTACAGAACATCTGCCTCTTCTTCTTTTATCAAGAAAACAGTGCATCAACAGGTAGTTCCCAAGAGAACCAAGAAATCTCTAGCTGAAGCAATGCAGAAATAAACTGAATGCTAAAATAAACGTATCTGGTTATCAAGATTTCATAACCTTTTTTTCCTTTCAATAAATCTGATTAAGGAAGACTGTAAGAAAGTTGGTTTTTGGGGGGTCTAAGCAGCCGCTATGGCCTTGACTGTTGTCATCCAGTGCCTGTATCTGATAGAGAGGTTCCTGAGACTATTCAACCCTCTGACCATTATCGTTTCCTCTTAACTTATGTGGGGATGAATGGCACAGCTAGAAGAGACTTTGAAAGAATCCCACAGAGTTGTGTCCTTGGGCAGGAAGATGAAGCAACTGGGTGCCCAAGCAGTTTTTCACTGACCTTCATTCCCAGGACTCCCGGGAAGAGATGGGATGCAACTTCCCAAAATTGGGAAGGCAGTGTTTGGCAGATGCCTTTCAGTCTTATCAGGAGGGTATTCAACCAGAACTAAGGGGGAGAGGGGCAAAACCCCCAGACTGAATGTGCAGCAATCAAATGGGACCAAGAAAGCAGAACACCAAGGAAGAAGAAGGAGACCAGTGGACTGAAATGAGGAGGACAGAATTTAACAAGTTCTGTAGGAAAAATGTAAGGCGCAAGTATAGGATGAGCACACCCAGGTCCATTTCTGGGCTTGTCAGTAGGACCTTGAAATGGATCTGGATATGCTATGTTGACCACAACTGAAACATAAAGTTTGTAAAAGGGCAAAGGCTATCTTGGGACACATCAAGAACGTAGAGTCCAGATCAGAGAAAATAATTGTTCTACTCTGCCCTTGCCTGGTGAGAGACTATTGGGAGTACTATGTCCAGTTTCGTGAGGAACAGTTAAAAGATCTCAGTAAGTCTAGCCTACAAAATAGACGACTGTGGGAAGATACAATGGCGGCCAATACCTGCAGGGTGTCACACTATTGTGATGTTCTGATGCTGATATGAGCAATGTCTCACCATCTTCTCCTCCCCTTTTCCCCCTTAAATCCTTCTCAGGCTTGAGTTTGACAATGACCGGAACCCTGATCTTAACAAAGAAGTCTACCTGCAGGACATTCACTGTGTGAGCTCCCTTTGCAAGGCTTACTTCAGGGAACTGCCCAATCCGCTTCTCACCTACCAGTTGTACGATAAGTTTGCAGTAAGTATGGCTCACAGGTCACCCTTCGTATCATTTCACTTATTTGTCATTCATATCCAGTCTGTCCTCCAGGAGCTTGAGGCTTGGATTTCTTTTTCTCCTGTCCACACAAAAACCACCTTGTGAGGGAAGATGGGCTGAGAAGGAGAACCACAACCTAAAATCATCTTATGAGCTTCTTTGGCTGAAGTACAGCTTGGATCTTCAAAATCCAACTTCAACAGTTGGAGGACCGCTGAGAATTCTTCTAGGTCACACAAAACTGGGGATGGGTGGGTGGGAAGAGTTTTCCCTATGGGAGGTGGGGATCCATTTTTGCTCCCTTAACCTTCCGGTCAAATTGTCATGACTGGTTGGGCCCATTCTGGCTCCAAGCTCTGGTGGGACTCCTGCTTCTTGCACCTGCTAACCAAGTGTTCAGCTGTGGGAGTCAACACTCAACTCTTTCCTTTGGTGGAGTGGGGAAAAAATGAGGAAGTTTAGCAAATAGAATTGCAAATTCAACGTCAACTTCCTCCTTCATCCAGGAAGCTGTGGCCATCCAGCTGAAAGAAAGCCGACTGGAAAAAATCAAGGAAGTGCTGAAGGACCTTCCACCGCCACACCACCGGTACTTGCAGGGACCCAGTTGACAACTGGCTCAGCTATTCCAAGGGTTCCATCGATTCATAATTCGGAGAAAGGCTAAAAGGCTTAAATTCCACATCAAACTACAAGGGGCGATATAGAAGAGAATCTTTGTAGCTCAGGGTTGAACTGTGGAGTCCTTGGGGTTCTCTGAGCTTGGCTGTTTTCTTGCAAGTGTTTCGTTACCCATCTAGGTAATATCTTCAGTGCACTGAAGATGTTACTTAGACGGATAACTGAAGATGTTACCTAGATGGGTAACAAAATGCCTGCAAGAAAACAACCAAGCTCAGGGAACCCCAAGGACTCCACGAGGGTCTATATCTCAGACCACATTGCACGCAGAAGGTCTCCTGTTCAGTGCTTGGTGTGCCCAAAGAAAATATATCTTCCCTGTGTAAGGTGTGGGTACACAAACTGGGACCCTCAAAGCTTTAGATGTCACCTTCAGATCCTCTCCCAATGTGGTCCCCCCAATGGGAAGACTGAGTTTCCAAACTGTGAAACTCCTGATCAAGAAAGACCTGCTTATTGATATCTGACTGCTGACACTGACAAATACCCTTAATCAGATTGACTTTCACCCATAGATGAAATATGAGGCCCCTGGTATAAACCATGTTTTATCATATTTATTGCTTTATTGATGTTTTACCACACTGTTTTCATGTTTTCACTTTGTTTTATGTATTATATTTTATTATGTAATTGTCTTGTGTTACTATTAGCCGCTATAGTGAAACGGTAGGATGTAAGTTTAAGAAACTAATGGAAAGATATTCACTCCATCTCTGGGAAGGTGGGTGTAAATGGCAGATCGAGAGGAGGGATCCTAGTCTGAGGCCAGCTGATCCTCATATCACGTTCTTTTAATTTGTTCTCTTTCTATCTCTACTTTGAAACCCAATTTGCCACTAGAACCCTTGAATTCTTGATGAAACACCTCGTTCGGATGGCGTCTTTTAGTTCCCAGACCAACATGCACGTGCGGAATCTGGCTATTGTCTGGGCTCCCAACCTGCTCAGGTAAGATAGGCTGCCGTTGGGTGCTTCCAGTCCAGGCCAGTGCAGTGTCCTTTGGGTTGAGGCCAAGGCACCTGATCTTCCAGCCAAATGACTGTGAGAGCAGAACAAGCAATCTCCTCAAGGGAGATGCAGCCCCGTGCCAAATGGGTGGGATTTAAATGGCAGCCCTGTGGGGGTATGAGCCATAACAGTGGTGATGGTTTTCCAAGTCAGAATTGCTGCTTAGGAAGTGAAGGACAACCAGCACATGGGAGGGCCACCATGGTCATGCAGTTCTAGAATCAGTAGTATTGCGGTCACAAACTTGTTCTCCTGCTATGTTTATTTGTTTTAGTCCGATATTCTGTCTGTGAACACGTACAGGGTGGAATCAGAATCTCTTGATATTTGTGCTTTTGAAATACCTTTACATTTACTTTCCAACTTATCAATTGAATGGGGGAAGTAAAAACTGAGACTCTTCCTCTCTCTTTCATCCTTCCCTTAGTGATTGGTCCTCATAATCCAATTTTACCAGAAAACATGATCTAATCCAGTATTTCCCAAACTTGGTAACCTTAAAATGTGTGGAATTCCCCAGCCAGCATGGGAGTTGAAATCCACACATCCTAAAGTTGCCAAACTTGAGAAACACTGATCTAATCAATGTTATAAGGCTTTGATCAGTTTCACAATGCTCAACAGCATTCCATAAATGAAACTTAGAAATTCATTGTGCTCAGCAATGCCCAGAAGCTAGGAATCTCTGAGCAAAATTTCATTTAAGGAGTGGTGGGGCAGAAACAATAGTTTGAGGAAGATATTCTCAAGAGGAGAGATTGGAATGTGTTTTTGGAGAGTGAGGAAACCAACACACTGGATGGGATATCATATCCACATAAATTTGACCACTGTTTTAACTCCCTTCCAAGTAAAAGAGTTGCTGAAGGACGTACCACAATCATTAGCACAAATCCCTTGAGTGAGAATGCTTGGACTTGATCAGCCATCTTTGCCAATAGCTAACCCTTGATGACCATGAAGCTAATCAGAGCAAAAGGAACAATTGTATGATTCCTTTCAGTGGATCTACTTCTCCTGTTGCACCCAGTTCCTCTCTTATGCTTCTCAGGTCCAAGGACATTGAAGTGTCTGGCTTCAATGGCACAGCAGCCTTCATGGAGGTCCGCATCCAGTCTATTGTAGTGGAGTTTATTCTTACCCATGTGGAACAGATTTTTGGAGATGCTCCTCTCTGTGGTAAGTCCTTCGACTCATTTCTACAGCTTTTTGTGGTGGCAATGTCAGGAAAAAGTAGAGGCATAGAGCAGCTGGGTGATTGACAAGAAAGCTTACTCTAGAGCAGTGTTTCTCAACCTTGGCCACTTGAAGATGTGTGGACTTCAACTCCCAGAATTCTGGGAATTGAAGTCCACACATCTTCAAGTGGCCAAGGTTGAGAAACTCTGCTCTAGAGTTTCTGTAACCAGAGATGTTAGTCTTCACTAGTCACAATGACTCTGAGCAGCATGCAAGGATTAAAACAACAACTACAACGTATAACCCATGACGTTCATCTGTTATTTTGCTCAGAATGGAGATGCAATCCTTGTTTGTCATCACTCTGCATCTTCATAACTTGTCCAAGCTGGTGCCCTTTGGGGATATTGGGTTATACATTTCACCCAGCAGGAGTGGTTTGGCGGTGCTGGTTGGGAGGTTAGACACCGTGGCTCAGCTTATTTAGAAAGCACAGTACTGGGTTAGTTTTCTTAGGTGTTAGAGAGAAATGAGAGTGAAAAAACATGGGGAACACTAGCCCTCCAAGAGAAGAAAAGAAAAACACTTACTGTAAGTCTGTAGTAAGGGTCATAGCCTGTCCTTCCCTGCCAGCCTGATAGAACAACTCTAGTAGAAGATCCCATGTTGAACAGGCCAAAGGTCCAGGAAAGAATTAGAAGCTTGTGTCTTCTCCAATTTGGGGTTCTACAGAAATGTTGGGTTACTATCTCAGCATCATAAAGATCTGGTATCCTTCAGATGCATACCGATGCTGGTTGGACTCCAAGTTTGCTCGTTTCTTTATATTATTTCGATGACCTCCCATCTTACAACAATGACTCTGCATGCAAGGATTAAAACAACTACAGCGTATAACCCATGACGTTCAGAAGACATTTGAAGAGATGAGTCATGTTAGTCTATCATAGCCAAAAATCTGGTAGCACCTTTCCCAGTTAACACATTTTATTAAAAGGCATACGTTTTTGTGAGCTACAGCTTATTCACTATGCATCTGATGAAAGGATTGCCTTTTAGTGAAAACTGTTAATCTGATTAAATGGATCGTCTGTCTGAATCTGAATCTCTATAGGAGTGGTGCATAACCTTTTTCAAATAAAACCCTACAGCACTGAAATTGTCAGTGGAGAAAGCCACAATCCAATAAGTGAGTGAGGCCAGGCAAAACTAAAGTGGATTTAATTGATTAAGAGAAAAATCATTAATTAAAGCAGCTAATATAATGGTTCCAGAGTATTTTTCTCCTCCTCCTGTAGCATTAAAAGTTAATTCAGCCGAAAAGCTTTCACCATCTGGACAGGAATTTATGGAAACAGGAAGCAGGCTTAGAAGACAAGCCATACCCCAACCATTGTTTGGTCCTTATCTTCCCACTTAGATTCCAGATCCTGCTCAACCCAGTAGGATTTCCTTGGAAGTAAACTTACATAGGATAGCCCTTATTATGTGTACAGAAATCCAATATTTTACCAAATAGGGAGGGGTAGCCCCCCCTCCCAAAAGTAGGTACTAAGAAATGTAGGTAAACGCAGAGCTTCTTGTTCATCCCTCCTAGGTGGTACCCGTGAATCCATCAGGAAGTCCCTCCTTGCTATGTCACCAGTGGTTCTTCCTGATGAGAAGTATTGTCTTCCCTACAATGTGCCAGCCATGCTGAACCAGGGGGATGGGCCCCCCCAGATGCGACCCTACCACACCATCATCGAATTCAATGACAGCAAGTAAGCAGCCAGTCTCTTTCGTCTTTTCCTGCTCACCCCAAGAGTGAGCTTTCCCTGGCCAAGTGCTCTTCTGAGCTATTGTCCTATTTTAGCAAACATCTAGAAGAGACTGGAGGATGGATCCCACAGCTCTTGAGCCAATCCCTCTCCTAGGGGTGCCAGCCTTCCCTCCCAGTTCACCCACCATGTCTAGGATGAGATTCTAGCACCTCTCTTACTGGCATAGTGATTTACAAGATGGTGGGGTGGGGGCAGGAGAGACCCTAGTCCTGCAAAGGCTCTGCCCCAAGGGGGTCTGGGCATCTCCACAGATCCCCTTTCAAAGGTCCCGTCCCTTCAAAGAACATTTGAATCAACTGCTGCATTTTTCATGGCAGTGCTTGGCCCAGCTCCCTCTTAATTTGTTGTTGCTGGTTCTTCTTGGGTTCTGCATTTCCTTATTTCCTTTTGGTGAGGAATCATCCTTGGAAGGCATATTATATTCTGTGTGTGTGTGTATTCTCTATTCTCTACTATTATCATGAGTTTCATCCCACCAGGTTTTCAGTCATACCAACAATGTCATATTCGCTCCACACATACTAGGACAGGTCTCCCTGTTTGTTCTCTGTGTTCTGCACATTGGTGTACAGGCATCTGCGCCTTTTAATGCTGCCCTTCTTACATTTATTTGCTGTATCTCCTGTGTATTCCTCAGCGTTCCTTCCTTCTTACTACTCCCTTGTTGTAAAGCTGACTGCCTTGCTTTGAATGTGGTGCTGAGTATTGGCCTCCCTCCCCCTTCAGGTTTAGTTTAAAGCCTGCCAGATAACTTGAGAAACACATCTTCCAAACATGTTCTTCCCAGCCTTCCCCAGAAGCCCTTCTTGTAGATGATATAGTCCAAAGCAGCATTTCTCAACCTTGGCCACTTGAAGATGTCTGGACTTCAACTCCCAGAATGGCTGGTTGGGGAATTCTGGGAGTTGAAGTCCAGACATCTTCAATTGCCAAGGTTGAGTAACACTGGTCCAAAGGAATCCTTGGCCCAGGAATGCAAAGCTTTCTCAAAGACACCATTCCTTGAGTGAGTGGTTCATCTCCAGAATCCTTCATTCCTTCCTCAGGCCATGACCTTCAGTTGGAAGTCTGGAGAGAAACATTACATGTGCCCAAACTCTTTTGCCTTTCCTCAGTATTCTTTCTAAGCTCTTTCTAGAAGTGTCATTTGTTTTACATGAAACAGAAGAAAGGGATAGTGGTCAATAAGGCTGATTAGTTGGATCAACCTCTCTGTCACATTGTGGACTTTCACATCCAGGAGACAACACTCTTCCCTCACGTCATGCCTGGTGTGCAGAGAACTCCATTCCTCACAGCAGCAGGCCATCCATCACCACTATGCACCTTTTCCTCTTTGGGACAGCTGTTAAATTCCTCACCTCCATGGAAATCCAAGCTTCTCCCCTTCCCACCCCTGGAATGCAAAGATCTTCTACTCATTTCCTAGAATATGCTACAAATAACCTCAATGAGTCAGATCCAAAGTGTGTCTCTTGAGCTGATGAGATGAAGTCCAACTTCTCTGCAGCTTGCGGGGCCTTTTCAGAATATTCTTGGAGTATGCAAATTATCCTCATGAGTCAGATGTGTCAGTGGTCTTTTGGAAGACTGCTAGGCAGGGTTTAAAACAGCTGTATTGCTGAAGCTGGGTGTGTGTGTGTGTGGATTGTACTGTGGGGAAAGTGGTGTCCTGGCAGGACAATTGTCCCCTTCTCCCCTGGCTTAGGCACTGGAGCCCCTCCACCACAGGACAATGGGCAGCTTCCCTGTAGGACCTTCAGCAGAAATGCAGTGGAGCCACAGGCAACTGATGCAGGGCTGTGGTTGTGAGAAGGGAAGCAAGGGGATGTGGTTTTTCAGCCACACCTCCGGGGGGGAAGTGAGGCTCTTTGCTTCCCTTCCACCACTACACCAGAGAACAGCTTCCTTGGGGCCAGTTCTCTGCCCATGGAGCGATTGCTCTGCTAGGTGGGTCTTCTTCTGCCCATTATTGGCACCTCCTTCTCCGCTCTCTCTCTCCTGCTTCTGGACCCTCCCCTCCCAGCACTCCTGGCAAGACAAACCAGCCGCTGAAGAACCCCCACCCTGCCAGCCAACTCCACCAACTCACCAGCCAACTCCGCTTCATCAGTTTTTCTCTGCCAGAGCTGCTGCTGTGGCTGTACCAAGCAGTTCTTAGCATGGCAGGAGATTGCTCCTAACATCACCGCTTCATTCCTTGCCTTCAGCCCTACTTCAGCCACCTAACTTGCCAGCTGACAATACTTTCCTGCTGCCCACTAACACGTCTAACCTCCCCCAGCACCTGCTCCAACAATTTTAATTCCAGCCTTTGTTGCTTCTAATTCAGGCACGTTCAGCATGTAAGCCAAATAGCTGGGGAGCAATGGATAACCATGGCATTCTCCTTTCCCAATTTAGAACTAGCATATTTCATTGAATGAATATTTCATTCATTCAAAAGATTTGTATGGGTTGGGGTTAGGGTTAGGGCACAACTTTAGGCAGCTCACAGCAACAATAAAACTACAAAAACCATAAAAACAGAAACTGAAAACCCAGTGCCTCAGTCATTCTCCCAGGATGCCCCAACAATCATTCCCAGGATGAAGTAATGCAATGTTGCATCCTGGTAGCATGTCCATTTTTCAATAGGTAGATGGGACAGTCCAGTACACCCATGTTTTTAAGGGCTGTCAAAATTTATTGTGTGGCCCAAGCATTCAAAAACCTTAGTGTAACCAGGAATACAAAAGATGTACAGGCTCAGCTGTATATCTCAGCTCTCCAGATATTTAAGCCCTTATTCGGAAATGATTTTACTTAGCAGAAGACTCTCAGACCCAACTCAGCCATGTTCATCTCCTTATTGTAGACAAGAATGAAGCCCATGTACACAGAGAAGGTTTTTTTCCACTGTAGTAGACAGAAATCAAGGCTCTTAGGTAAGGTGAAGCTCCAAGATTTCAAGTCTAAATTCTTCCCTCCAAGTTCAGCAGATACTTTGCCATTTGTTTGATGGCCTTGGGAGACACCTGATCTACGCTGACACTGGGAATCTTTGGTTCTTGCCTCACCAGCTTCATCCCTTGGGGAGGGGGGCCTAAAGGCATCCCTTTCCACTCAGCACAGATTGTAACCTGAATTCCAATCCTTTGCAGAAGAAAAGGGTCCTTGAAGGCCAAGAAATGGAAGTCAATCTTCAACCTAGGACGATCCAACCATGACTCCAAACGCAAGTTGAATAAGCCAGAAGACAAAGGTAAGAGATGCATGGATCTCATGCATATGAAATCCATGCGTGGAGCATAGCAACCCATGCCCAACCATGGTGATACCCAAATAACAAAGCATGTGTTGTGATATCACGACACAGGTTTTGCTGTTTCCTCCTTGTGTTGCAACATCTCACACAAGGGCAGTTTGCATGGTTTGTATCATGACATGGCAACACACATTTTGTCACTTGCCTCCCTGCCTCCCATGTTCTGGAGGAACAACCTATAGAGTTGTTCCTTCCTCAACGTGCTTCCCCCCCCCCACCTTCCCAAGGATGGTGCTTGGGAAAGGCTACTGCCACAGGGTTCCTCTGGTGTGGCTCAGAAATGAGGCTGCCCTCAAGGGAGAGGGGCGGTTTCATCTTCTGGTGCTGCTGCTCCTGGGGGAGCCACGGAGGAGCAGGGAAGGAATGAAGGATTCTGAAGGAAGGAATGAAGGATTCTGGGGGTGAACCACTCATTCAAGGAATGGCGTCTTTGAGAAAGCTTTGGATTCCTGGGCCAAGGATTCTTTTGGACCAGTGTTTCTCAACCTTGGCAACTGGAAGATGTCTGGAATGCTGGCTGGGAATTCTGGGAATTGAAGTCCACCCATCATAGAGTTGCCAAGGTTGAGAAACACTGATCTAGGGAACCAGAGGATATGCTGGGGAGCAACACCATCACTTGTTCTCCAGGAAAGTTCTCCAAGCATGCCCACCAGAGCAAAGAAAAAAGAAAAAATTCACAGCCCTGAACTTTGTGCAATTTCAGGATCGGGTCAAGGCTGGGGATGTTTGCAAGGTATGGTCAAAAAAGGCAAGAGAGCAGTTGCAATGGACAATTAAAGCTCTGCCTGATTTTTATGGGCATATGAGCTTTCCTCACCCTGTCGCAGCTGCCATCTTGAGTTTCTGACCACACCCTGCAGATCCCCCTGGTTAAGGCAAATGAGTACCTTAAGCTTTATACTAATTTCACCCCTTAACTTCCTCCCCCCAACTCCCCAATGCATCCTAGTCTTGCCCACTTTTGGAACACAGCCCTGCACTAAGACTAGGGTGGCCCTCCAGCTGAGAGAAGTTGTCCTCCTGATCTAGAACCCAACTCCTACAACCCAGTGGATCCTTTTTACAGTGAAGTTCCTCTAGCATCCAGGGGTGCTGGGCTGCACGTGACTCCTCTCTTCATTTTATGGACGGTGGTCCTCATCTCTGGTACACGTTGTGTCAGAAGATGTTTCACATGCTGCGTGTCCAGCACCGAAATGCAGTGAGCTGCCAAAAGTGGAATGTGCTTCTATAATGATTTGTTGCACTGTTTTGCCCAAAAGAGTGTCTTTACACAGCAACAGCCAGAGCTTGAGCAGTGAGTTTGTATGGCAGACTCTGAGGTAGAAAGAGATGCGTCATGGAGAAGCAACTTCCCCTTTCGCTGAAAGCAGATGAAATGTTTGGGTGTCAACATGTGGGGCCTTTCCCTGTGTGTATATTTGATTTGCTATTACAGTCATCCTTAGTTATATGGGGGAGGGTGTTAAGCTGGGGACCATCTCACTTTATAAAAAAATCAAAATTTGCTTGCTTGATTAAAGCAGCGTTTCTCAACCTCGGCAACGTTAAGATGCGTGGACTCCAACTCTCAGAATTCCCCAGCCAGCAAGCCAAGGTTGAGAAACACTGGATTAAAGGATTGTTTGAGTTTTCTTTTTGTCTCTGCCTTGCAGAAAAAGTCGGGAAAAAAGAAAAAGTTATTTTTAAAATAGATATAATTTGATTAATCTTTAAAAACATTACAATTAATATTATTACTAGTTTGTAATATTGTATATAAACTAAATAGCAACATATGTAAGCCACCCAGATTCTAATGGAGTGAACTGCATTATTACTATTATTATTAAAGGGGAACCTGCTAAAGGAGATTCTGGAGTGCTTGGGGCTGTTGGGCAAGATGCTCTCTTGATCGCATTCTTTATAGTTCACCCCTGAAAGGTGTCAATGTTTGATAACATAAGCAACTATTAAAGATGGCCAGAAGGATGCAAACTCTACCACTTGTTCCAAGCTCAATGCAGCACCAGAAGCAGCCTCTGGATTATATTTCCAGTTGTAAGAAAACAAAGGTCTGCATTCCTAGTAGAAACATTTGGGGTTGATGGAATTCCCGGAGGCCCAGTTGACTTGGCTCAATCCTGCCTTTCTGTTCCAGATGACAAAATGGGTCAGATTCGCCTGCGTCCAGCCAAAAGCATGGATTCACTCAGCTGTATGCCATCTGTCATTGATGGTAGGTAGAGAACTCCACAAAAATCTGCAAAAAAAGTCTATGACCATGTTCGCTCACACAACAGGTTCTAAGTCTGATGGTCAAACTGTTGACCTCCATGGGATAGGAGAAATGATCCCTAACTCTTCTGCTGCCAAAAGGCGAATGGCCCTGGAAAACAATGCCCGGGGACGTGTCCACAGTACCTTAGGTGGCCAAAAGGAGCAGAGAGGTCCCCACTCCTAAGCCCCTCTTGATATGAGGCGCTGCAGACCACATGAATTGCAAGGCCACTTTAAAAAGGGGACAGGAAAAACCCAGAGCAGCCTGCTTTCTCAGTTCCTCATCAGTTAAGTGGAAGGCTTTTGTTGCCTGAAATGGTTAACAAACATCTTCTGGCCATCGTTAGTGGGCTGTGTGAAGAACCCATAGAGAGAATGAATAATTGAATCACCAAGAAACACTTATATAAACAAAGGGTGAATGGGTTGAGAGGAAGAGAATACCAAGAAAATCGTGGCTGGGCGAGTTCATGAGATCCTCAAAAACAGTGTTTCTCAACCTTAGCCACTTTAAGATATGTGGATTTCAGCTCCCAGAATTCCCCAGCCAAGTCCACATATCTTAAAGTGGCTAAGGTTGAGAAACTCTGCTTACAAAGAAAGAAGCGAAAATGTTAAAGAACAAAAGGCACTGTGTGAAGCAGGGGGATGTGATGTGATGTGATGTGATGTGATGTAATATGAGCAAGGATGGTATATAACGAGTGAAATTTATCCAGAGCTCTAGAGAATGTTATTGGAGTGAACTTAACTTAGCTAAATTTCCATTTCTTTTTTTTACCTTATGCCTTAATTTCTTTGGTTTATTATTTTTACTCCTTTTCTGTTTTTTGCATAATGATGTTTACCCTGAAAGGGAATGGCATTGTTGGTATTTATGTATGTGTGCGTGTATGGCCTCTGCAGTGAGGGAGGACAGGCTTTGATCTCCTTCTGTGTCATTCTTTCGACTGGTCAGGTCTATCAGTAGTAAATCTAGCCCAGGGTTTCTCAACCTCAGCAAGTTTGAGATGTGTGGACTTCAACTCCTAGAATTCCCCAGTCACTTAAAGGAACCTCTCAACCTGGTCTCCTCCAGTGGTGGAGACCATCACCCATGGCAGTCTCACAGTTCTCATCATCAGTTTGGGAAAGATGGGATTTATTGTTGAGGAAGGCTGATTTGAAGCCTTTTTGAAGGGGTTATTGATTCAGCTTGATAGCAGCCTCATCACATAAAAGCTATTGGTTGGATACATGGGCATTGCCCCAAGAGTCTCTCTGACTGGTCCTTCTCTTTTGAATGCAGATGATGCCCACTTAGGGAGGGAGATATCCCAAAAGCATGAGAGTTTTGATGGGCCAGTTTCACTCGACAGCAGTTTCTTGGAATCTGGGTATGTTTCTGCAAAGAGTAAATCTGAAGACATGCAGGATGAAGCCACCAAGTCAGAACCCACCACCCCAAAAAGTAGCAGGTCCAGTCTCGTTGGAGGGACCCCTCAAGGGCGTTCCCCCAAGAATGCAAGGAACCGGGCTGAGAAATGTGCTGGGGTCCACATCTCAGGACCTTTCTCAGTCACTGTCCCATTCCACATCACATCCAACCTCACATTGTCCCGGCTGACCCGTGGGCTGGAGTGTCCAGCTCTGAGCTACTGCGCCTTGGATAATGAGACTCCTGAGGCCATTTCTTCCAATGAGGAAGATTTTTCCAGGATGACAGAGGACAAGGAGAAGCTGACGTCTGCAATCACGGCAAATAAGGAAGTAACTGCAGGTCAGTATGAATGTTTGTATTGTAACTGAGGCTGACAATAATAGAGCAGTTAGCAAGGGCAGGCACAAATGATTCCGAAAGCAGCAGTCAAGAGAACTGGATACCCACAATGGTGTGTTGGGTCATTGCTCCAGCTGTTCCACCTCCTCCAAATACCTAGATGCAAACTGGCATGTAGGTTCCATATTAAGAGGAAGCCAGTCCCTTCGTCAATGCAACATCTTAACCTACTCAACTGCACATTCCTTCTAGTCAATTTCACTATGCCAATAGAAAATTCTTTTGTTTGATTTTCCCTGTTTATACATAAGTACTGTAGTGTGTAATGTCCTCAGCCCAGTAGAATTGCACAGGTAAAACTGTAACTTTGGAGCAGAGTAGAAAGATTATATTATGATCAGGAATAACCAAATAAAGAAATCTCAGTAGAATAACTGTACAGTAGATCTGCATGAATTGGTACAGGACCCTCAAAATACAGTTGCTCTAAATCGGTGTTTCTCAGCCTTGGCAGCTTGGAGATGTGTGGACTTCAAGTCCCAGAATTCCCCAGCCAGCATGGCTGCCTGAGGAATTCTGGGAGTTGAAGTCCACACGTCTTCAAGTCACCAAGGCTGAGTAACACTGCTCTAAATAATTATGATTGCTTTGCCTTTAGATAATCTGCATGTGTATCAAAGAAGTACCTTAAAAATTGCCTTCTGTAATGTAACAGTTCCCAGATGTGTTGGGACTACAACACCCAGAATTCCCATCCTGACTAGGAATTGCAGTCCCAACCCAGCTGCAGGACATCACACCGGGGAAGACTGAAAGAGAATCTGAGAGATGTAATAGACACGTTATATAAAAAAAGTAAAAATATCTACCAACTAATTAATATGGAACATTTCTTTCGGTTAAATTAATACACCTAACTGGATTATTCAAAAATAATGCAGTTTAATTATTCCTATCTGATATAGTCTAGGTTTTCATATCATGCTTATCTATGATTTGTAGAACAAGCCATGGACCAGCATGTCATGTACAACAAGAAGACATAAACCATGGATTATAAGCTATAATTTATATTTTTATATTTTTATTGTTTTTATTGTTTCGGATTTTAATTGTAAGCCACCCAGAGTCACCCTCTGGGGGAGATGGGCGGCATATAAATAAAATAAATAAAATAAATAAATAAATAAAGTAGTTATGAACTACATACATACAATAAGGGTAAACCAGAAGTATGCCAACCACATTATGGCTTAGTGCAATGCTGGAAACCAGGTCACTAATTTTTTAAATCACGCTTTGCCATTGTTTTCTCACTTACACCCTTCCTTTTTCATGTGTGAGTTTTCATTTGGTATTCAAGCCATTTGCAAATAATGGGAATGGAACATTTCTCAACCAGATGTCAACGACCAGACCTGTACTCAGCAAAGACCTAGTCCCTACTATGAAATTGGACTGAGCTTTTTGCCTGTATGCATTTTAGAAACAAAGATTGAAGCCCAAATTGACCCTGAAGAGAACCGGATATCTATGGAAGTTGAGGATACCTTCTCATTCCTGGACAGCCAAGATGTCCTGGAGGAAGATCAGCTGCAGATGAATTCCAGAGAGGGCCCTGATTTTCCAGATTGTCCATCACTTGGCTTGGACATCCTACCAAGCACTGAAGATGATTTGGGAAGTGGATTTATGAACGAGATGATAGGAGGTGGGATGGAGGTGAGTTCCACGATTAAGCCATATGAAATCTTTCTGTACCCCATTTTTCCAGCCCGACAAAAGGACTTTCTGAGCAAAGATAGTGTGAGCATTATGCAGAAGGGAGAGTTAACTCTGGAGATCACTTTCCCACTTTGTACCTTTCTGGTGGCCTTCCTTCTTGGTGCTGCATAATGGCAGGTGGTTGATTGTCTAATCTCCAAAAATCAATCAAAGTAGCTTAGTTTTACTCCTGTTTGACTGATTTGCAGCTTCTGGGATACGATGCAAAGGAAAAATAGATATGGTCCTTCAGGTTGGACAGCTTCTACAACACCCTTTCCCAGTCTGGCTCCCTCAAGATGTAGTGGGAGATGGGATGGGGTAAAGTGGGAACTCTTGCGGTTGTTTCTCAGCACATCTGGAGAGTACTAGACTAGGGGAACCTGCTGCAGAAGCTTCCAAAAACCAGATGTAATGAAAAATTGTTCAAAGAAAGGTGCTTGAACAGTATTACCACTTGAGAAAAGGGTATATTTTCATATTTCTTTTACAAATTGTTCTTAGGGGCCGATGCACCTGAATGAACATAGCCCCTTCCCTCCTCAGCTTAATTGTGGGTCTTTGTACTAAAGAATTTGGCATATTGGAATTAAAGCAAAGTGTCACCAAGTCAGGAAGCTCACATGGTGACCTTGTGTCAGCCTTCCCAGGTAGACCAGGCAGGAAACAC